ATCCTTGCTGAATATTCCTGTTTTTCTTTTTTGTATTTTTGATCAAATAAATGCAGGCTTGTAGAGCATAATAAAAACATTATTTCAAAAACATTAAAAATAGTAATTGGTCCAGCCTTTTTACCAGTAGGCTACTGTATGTACATATTAATCAAACTTCATCTAAGGTAATCTCTTTTTTGTTTAATGAAGATTTTATTGTTATTGTTATTTTGCTGTTTTATTCAATTTATTCACAGTTTCAGAATACCACTTCAGTGATATATGCTTTTATCATTTTTTTCATAGCTGGTATGGGCAGGATTTTCCCCTCCCATTTAATAGATATTGACTGCAGAATGCAGATATTGTCATATTATTAATATAAGTAGGCCTAACATGATATTATGCATTGCATTGCTAGCTTAAATATGCTATACACAAATGAAGTGGAAGAGAAAGACACGATCGCTACTGATTAGAAAAAAAATTCTAAACTGATATTATTGGCGTAAGTAGGCTGATGTCAGACAGGGTATAATCTAATCATCAGCAGAATTTAGAAGATAGACCCATGATCCTTTATTTGAAACATTTAAAAATGTTGTAGTGTGTTGGCTTTTTAACTTTGAATACAAACGTCTTGTCTTTTACTTTTGTAGTGTTTTTAGTCAGCTCCCGACGCGATGTTATTCATTGTTGTACGCGCAAATTCAAAGCGTCGCGTCTGGGCACGGTAATGACGCTCGCGCTCTTTTAAACTCGTAATAAGGCGGTGAATGATTTTTCCAGAAATGACGCTGATCTACAGTACAAGTTTATATTTAGAATACATTGCAATCACTCCAAAATAGATAACGACAACGCACACACCTGCATTAGAGCTGTGCTTCTGTGCGTGCCTATTTAGGCTTTTGCTTCGCAGCACCTGATGGGCTGGCGTTAATGTGACGTAATGTAACAGTCTATGGTTAAGATAAACATCGTCACTATTTTTAGTTAATTAATAAATATTGAAATAAATTGTAGATAGGACATTTGTAAAAAAAAAAAAAAAAAAAAAAAAAAAAATGTATCCCTCTGTCTGGGCCCCATCCCGCCAGTCGGGCCCTAGGCACGTGCCTAGTTTGCCTTTGCGTTAATCCGGCTCTGCACACACACGCGGTATGATGGGTAGGTAACTGGTTGTAAATTCTGAGACTGCTTAGACACAAAAATAATGCTTTGAATATAAACTAAAGTAACATAAAACATATATTTATATATAACAACATATAATATAATATACATATAACAACCAGACAATGCATGCAACCATTAATAAATAAATAAATGTTTTCCAACGCAGGACCCTTTAAGACTTTGCCACTCTCATAAAAAAAATATTATTTCATGAGTATTTAATATAGCACTTAAAAACAAATTATAGATGTTATTAAAATAGATTAGACTATCAAAATCACAGTGTTACTGTTGTTCCACTATTAAGTAGCCGATTTCACCTTGATTCCAACTCAGAGGTGCCCTTGAACAAAACATGGAGAGCTAGCATGTTGGTGTGATCTCTTTCCCATGCAGAGCGCCACCTTGTGGGGTAACTTCATAGAACATGCACATGTGATTGAGGGGCATGTAACCGACCGCACAAGCTGCATAGTGATGAGAAAATATTTGCTAATTTTCTGTTGATCAGTGGACATCAAAAGACATGCACATGAGAGTAGGCCTACAACACTAACTCATAATGGTTATTAATATTCATAATAACTGACATAATAACTGGCAGATAAATAATCATCTTCAGTGTATATTAGAATGGCAGCAATTTGATGTTGCATTTCTAGGCACTATGCCATCCATCCTTCATGCCACATGCTCGATAATTCATAGAAGCAAGGCAACATGTCAACACTGAGGGCTAACATGGCATCACATTATCTAATTTAACAACAAATCATAAGTGCATCTGCAACATTATCTTATTCATCAATCCTTACACTCAATGAGAATCCCTTTACCATAGCCTAATTGTGCGATCCATCTTAAACCTAACAGGGCCTCTTCCCCAAACAAGAGCTATTTTTACCTCTCAGTCAGCTGTGACAGAGATGATACTGACAATGAACAGCCTTCTTTGTACAAAAATACACTGAGGCACAGGTCTGAAAAGCCATAAAACACATCTCCAGACTCTATTTAGTCTGTAATAATATTAATACTAATATTATTATATCTAGAGTGATTTTGGGCTGAAGCTAAAAGTTCTCATGTTGTCTGCACTGACACCAGTAGTTATCGCCTTGTGTCCGAGGCCTTGTACCAGTCAACAAGATGTAAATATAAACGTGAAGACAGCTAAAATCTATTTTTTTTGGCAGCAATAAACATTAAAAAAATGTACACAAAATAGTTTTTGATTTGTATTTTTTTATCTTGTGTAACATTACTAATATCTAACAATTCTTAAATCAAGATTAATTTACTTGAGAAGAAAAATGACTTATAAAAATATCTGTCAATGGAGTAAGTCAAATAATTTAGTTTTTTCTTTGAAATAACCTGTGAATATTCCTTTGAAAAGTCTCCTGTATCATATACACACACATTTCTAACTAAGGCCTCTAAATTATCATCATGATCAAAACTTTTCTGAAAAGTGTGTTGTACACAATCTACTACATGCCTTCTGCACTCTGATTGAAAGCTTTTTTTTAGCTAAAAGGCCTTTTAGTAATTCTAAAAACGTCCCCCTTCAGGTCATGATACATTTGTCTTTTTGCACTGATTTTTTATAAAGTAAACATAATAACTTTTATATTGTTAGTAATATTTTAAGATGAACACTGGACTGAAGCAAGGTTTAGTTGAATAAGGTTTACTTGATTATCCGCATACATCATTTTAGATAAATCGTGTTAAAATGTGAGTATCAAATATGATACATCAGGCTTTTGAATAACGTTTATTTGTACATCTCTCAATGTATTTCAATGCATTAGCCTATATGTTTTGCCTTTCACAATAAAAACTGCAGAGCTTTGATCATAAAACTAAGCATTTGAATATCATCTTACTAAGACGCATTATTGGGAGAGAACGGTTACTTTTTTCACCCCACTGACAGATATGTTATGACTTAAGAAAGTATACATTTTTGTACCGGAAAATGAGACAAAAGAACTGAGCAATAAAATCAGTTTTTGCAGTGCAGTGCTTTGACAATATGACAAAAACAGCTCTTGTAATAAAACACTAGGCTACATTTTCATAATCAAGACTACTGAGGAGTTTTATGGCATTTCACCAATCTAAGTGGGGAAGATTCGGCAGGTAGTCTTCACCCCCTACAGATTTGTGCAAAATGAGAGATATTATATATCCACATTCTGCCTGGGCCAAAGTTACCTGAGGACATCTGTATGTCTAATAAGAAAGATGGAGGGCTTTTCACTCATTTTAGCACCACAAAGTCGACCCCATCTGTTTTTCTTAAAGGAAAGAGTCATAAAAACAGAATGTTTTTTTTTTTTTTGTATGTGTGTGTTTACAGCAGGAATGAAAGCACGTTCAGGGGGCATGGGGATCTAAATGAACATTCCAGCACAACAAAATCCCTGTTCTCCTGGTTAATGATCCTGGCCAGATTGAACTAGATATAGCTGGGCTTATCTGCCACTTCTAACACTATGAAAAATAGGTGTCTTTCCTCTCAGAGCCCTTCTTGGAAGCTGAGACTTTCTCAGACACCTGCTGTTGCCCTATGCTATCACTGCAAACATTTCATGCTGTCTGCATGGAGATGGATCAATGTACACTACTTAAGGAGACAGAATGCGAATTGGAAAATAAACATAGCGTAGGAGTACAACAGAGCAAGAAAAATGATGGTCAAAGTATCCTGTTACCCACAGAATAACAAAGTTTAGATTGTTGTGCAAATGACACTAAAAAAGCATATTATTCCACTCAGTGACATTAGAGCTTTTGATTGAACTTGGTCTGTAATTTCAACTAAATTTCAACCTTCCTTATGCAGGCATATACTGACATCTAGTGGCACATCAAATGAGAGCATTCAGAATAAAACAAATAAATAAAAGAAAAAACAGTTGAAAACGAGTTTACAAACTATGCAGTTACAAAACTGTTTTGTTTTCTAACTGATTATGAAGTGTCTTCATTTAACTTGGATTTTAATAGCCAAGATACTAGTGTCAACTTTCACTTGCTCGTAACTTAGGCTAACTTACTTCATGAATCGCTCTATTACAGACCATATTACAGTTTCCACGAAAGGTTAACTGTTACATGCTATATTTTATATAGTGAACACAACACGTCTCAATGGATTAACTTAATTAACGTTTATGTGACTTGTGTTTCTTTCAGTGGAAAAAAATAAACATTGTTAAAAAGCAACAACAAAAAAACAATAACAAACATTCATGATTCACGAGTTCAGTTAAGACTGGAGAATATATTCTCCCACTTACCATGTCTGAATTAATTTATTAAAGAAAAGATAATGTTTGTTGATTGTTGTTTATCAGACGGTTGATTGTCTTGCTTTAGCCTCGAAGTCCCATCACCATAGCAACAACATCAAACGCCTACCGCCAAATAAAATAGTTAAACATATCTCATGTGACCTCGTAAATATATTCCGTAGTGTTTTAAAATTCGGCTGACTTCGATATTTAAAGCCTGGTGAATATACAGACGCTTAGGAACGAATAGTTTGCTTGAACGATTGTCTACCGTAACCCGGAAGTAATCCTTTCTGACCTTTACCGCCAACTGACACTCGCACATGGGTTTGTTATGATGTGGACTTTGACACTAGTTTCGCTATTGTTTGGAGCTTTTTGACAGAATTGGTAAGCTATTTGCAACAATTTAACACGATTTTAAAATTGGGTTTAGCTTAAAATGTTGCAAACCTTTCACAATACAAGACAAAGGTCTTTTGTCATTTCAAAAGTTTTTTTTTTTTAGGTGAGGTTTATTGTTTGAGGAATTTCCACTAACCACAGCAGTTAAAATGGATCCCAGTCCACTCATTTTAGATGGAGGTCTTGCAACAGAACTTGAAGCAAGTGGGTTCCAATTACAGGTAGGTACCTAGTCTACACAGACTTATTGTCACTAATCACAAGTTTACTCACGCATATATTGTGTTTGCAGGGAGATCCACTGTGGAGTGCAAGACTTCTGCATACAAACCCACAGGCCATTAAGGACGTACATTACAGGTAATTACAGGCTTCATTATGTTCTGTACCTGGGTGGTCATGCAGTGCACGAAGTGTGAAACACTGTATAATATAAAAAATATATTGCTTATAATTACTGTATATTTATTATATGCAGTGTTTTTGTCATTTTTATTATATATATATCCTTTTTATTATATATATATCCAAATCCTCAGTCCTCATCCTGCTGGATCTGTCTGCTGCTTTTGACACAGTTAACCACCAGATCCTCCTGTCAATCCTAAAGATGAAGGGCATCTCGGGAACTGCACTCCAATGGTTCGAGTCTTACCTCTCAGGTAGGTCCTTTAGGGTGTCGTGGAGAGGTGTGGCATCTAAGACCCAACATCTAGCTACTGGGGTGCCTCAGGGCTCAGTGCTTGGACCACTCCTCTTCTCCATCTACATGACATCACTAGGATCTGTGATTCAGAAACATGGCTTTTCCTATCATTGCTACGCTGATGACACGCAACTCTACCTCTCATTCCAGCCTGACGATCCGACGGTAGCTGCTCGTATCTCAGCCTGCCTGACAGACATTTCTGGCTGGATGAAGGACCACCACCTTCAACTAAACCTTGCGAAGACAGAGCTACTTGTGGTCCCGGCCAACCCAACACTTCATCTCAACTTCTCCATTCAGCTAGGCTCGTCATCCATAACTCCATCAAGGTCAGCTAAGAGCCTTGGGGTTGTAATTGATGATCAGTTGAAATTCACAGACCACATTGCTAGAACTGCCCGGTCCTGCAGATTTGCCTTGCACAACATTAGGAGGATCAGGCCCTTCCTTACAGAGCATGCCACACAACTCCTTGTCCAAGCACTTGTTTTATCCAGACTGGACTACTGTAATGCTCTCCTGGCTGGTCTTCCAGCTTGCTCTGTTAAACCTCTACAACTGATCCAGAATGCTGCAGCCAGAGTAGTCTTCAATGAGCCGAAGAGAGCACACGTCACTCCTCTCCTCACACAATTGCACTGGTTGCCAGTTGCCGCTCGCATTAAATTCAAGGCACTGACGTTTGCCTACAGAACAACCACTGGCACTGCTCCATCTTACCTAAACTCATTACTTCAGACTTATGTGCCATCCAGAAACCTGCGCTCTGCTAGCGAATGTCGTCTTGTGGTACCATCTCAAAGAGGCACAAAATCTCTTTCTCGGACCTTTACCATGGCTGTTCCCTGTTGGTGGAATGATCTGCCTAACTCAACCAGAGCTTCTGAGTCAGTAGCCACTTTCAAGAAACTGCTGAAGACATATCTTTTTCGGCAGCACTTGATTCAGTAGAATTAACACTTTCTCTTCTCTTCTATTCTATAAAAAAAAAAAAAAAAAAAAAAAAAAAAAAACTGCACTAAAATTGAACTGAGAGGGGTTATAGCACTTACGTATTGTTGTCCTACTGTTAGTTTAACTGCTTCTATTGTTCTCATTTGTAAGTCGCTTTGGATAAAAGCGTCTGCTAAATGAATAAATGTAAATGTAATGTAAATGTAATATATATACATATATATATATATATATATATATATATATATATATACAGACTCACCTAAAGGATTATTAGGAACACCATACTAATACTGTGTTTGACCCCCTTTCGCCTTCAGAACTGCCTTAATTCTACGTGGCATTGATTCAACAAGGTGCTGAAAGCATTCTTTTGAATTGTTGGCCCATATTGATAGGATAGCATCTTGCAGTTGATGGAGATTTGTGGGATGCACATCCAGGGCACGAAGCTCCCGTTCCACCACATCCTAAAGATGCTCTATTGGGTTGAGATCTGGTGACTGTGGGGGCCATTTTAGTACAGTGAACTCATTATCATGTTCAAGAAACCAATTTGAAATGATTCGAGCTTTGTGACATGGTGCATTATCCTGCTGGAAGTAGCCTCCAGAGGATGGGTACATGGTGGCCATAAAGGGATGGACATGGTCAGAAACAATGCTCAGGTAGGCCGTGGCATTTAAACGATGCCCAATAGGCACTAAGGGGCCTAAAGTGTGCCAAGAAAACATCCCCCACACCATTACACCACCACCACCAGCCTGCACAGTGGTAACAAGGCATGATGGATCCATGTTCTCATTCTGTTTACGCCAAATTCTGACTCTACCATCTGAATGTCTCAACAGAAATCGAGACTCATCAGACCAGGCAACATTTTTCCAGTCTTCAACTGTCCAATTTTGGTGAGCTCTTGCAAATTGTAGCCTCTTTTTCCTATTTGTAGTGGAGATGAGTGGTACCCGGTGGGGTCTTCTGCTGTTGTAGGCCATCAGCCTCAAGGTTGTGTGTGTTGTGGCTTCACAAATGCTTTGCTGCATACCTCGGTTGTAACGAGTGGTTATTTCAGTCAAAGTTGCTCTTCTATCAGCTTGAAACAATCAGCCCATTCTCCTCTGACCTCTAGCATCAACAAGGCATTTTCGCCCACAGGACTGCCGCATACTGGATGTTTTTCCCTTTTCACACCATTCTTTGTAAACCCTAGAAATGGTTGTACGTGAAAATCCCAGTAACTTAGCAGATTGTGAAATACTCAGACTGGCCCGTCTGGCACCAACAACCATGCCACGCTCAAAATGGCTTAAATCACCTTTCTTTCCCATTCTGACATTCAGTTTGGAGTTCAGGAGATTGTCTTGACCAGGACCACACCCCTAAATGCATTGAAGCAACTGCCATGTGATTGGTTGATTAGATAATTGCATTAATGAGAAATTGAACAGGTGTTCCTAATAATCCTTTAGGTGAATGTATATATACAGGTCCTTCTCAAAAAATTAGCATATTGTGATAAAGTTCATTATTTTCCATAATGTAATCATAAAAATTAAACTTTCATATATTTTAGATTCATTGCACACCAACTGAAATATTTCAGGTCTTTTATTGTTTTAATACTGATGATTTTGGCATACAGCTCATGAAAACCCAAAATTCCTGTCTCAAAAAATTAGCATATTTCATCCGACCAATAAAATAAGTGTTTATAATACAAAAAAAAAAGTCAACCTTCAAATAATTATGTTCAGTTATGCACTCAATAGTCAATACTTGGTCGGGAATCCTTTTGCAGAAATGACTGCTTCAATGCGGCGTGGCATGGAGGCAATCAGCCTGTGGCACTGCTGAGGTGTTATGGAGGCCCGGGATGCTTCGATAGCGGCCTTAAGCTCATCCAGAGTGTTGGGTCTTGCGTCTCTCAACTTTCTTTTCACAATATCCCACAGATTCTCTATGGGGTTCAGGTCAGGGGAGCTGGCAGGTCAATTGAGCACAGTAATACCATGGTCAGTAAACCATTTACCAGTGGTTTTGGCACTGTGAGCAGGTGCCAGGTCGTGCTGAAAAATGAAATCTTCATCTCCATAAAGCTTTTCAGCAGATGGAAGCATGAAGTGCTCCAAAATCTCCTGATAGCTAGCTGCATTGACCCTGCCCTTGATAAAACACAGTGCACCAACACCAGCAGCTGACATGGCACCCCAGACCATCACTGACTGTGGGTACTTGACACTAGACTTCAGGCATTTTGGCATTTCCTCCTCCCCAGTCTTCCTCCAGACTCTGGCACCTTGATTTCCGAATGACATGCAAAACTGAGCAACAGTCCAGTGCTGCTTCTCTGTAGCCCAGGTCAGGCGCTTCTGCCGCTGTTTCTGGTTCAAAAGTGGCTTGACCTGGGGAATGCGGCACCTGTAGCCCATTACCTGCACACGCCTGTGCACGGTGGCTCTGGATGTTTCTACTCCAGACTCAGTCCACTGCTTCCGCAGGTCCCCCAAGGTCTGGAATCGGTCCTTCTCCACAATCTTCCTCAGGGTCCGGTCACCTCTTCTCGTTGTGCAGCGTTTTTTGCCACACTTTTTCCTTCCCACAGACATCCCACTGAGGTGCCTTGATACAGCACTCTGGGAACAGCCTATTTTTTTTTTTTCAGCCTATTTCTTTCTGTCTTACCCTCTTGCTTGAGGGTGTCAATGATGGCCTTCTGGACAGCAGTCAGGTCGGCAGTCTTACCCATTATTGCGGTTTTGAGTAATGCAACAGGCTGGGAGTTTTTAAAAGCCTCAGAAATCTTTTGCAGGTGTTTAGAGTTAATTAGTTGATTCAGATGATTAGGTTAATAGCTCGTTTAGAGACCCTTTTCATGATATGCTAATTTTTTGAGACAGGAATTTGGGGTTTTCATGAGCTGTATGCCAAAATCATCAGTATTAAAACAATAAAAGACCTGAAATATTTCAGTTGGTGTGCAATGAATCTAAAATATATGAAAGTTAAATTTGTATCATTACATTATGGAAAATAATTAACTTTATCACAATATGCTAATTTTTTGAGAAGGACCTGTATAGTACCGGTCAAAAGTTTGGAAACATTACTGTTTTTAATGTTTTTGAAAGAAGTCTCTTATGCTCATCAAGCCTGCATTTATTTGATCAAAATACAGGAGAAAAAACCCCAGTAATACTGTGAAATATTATTACAATTTAAAATAATGTTTTTTTATTATTTGAATATACTTTAAAATACAATTTATTTCTGTGATACAAAGCTGAATTTTTATCAGCCATTACTTCAGTCGTCAGTGTCACATGATCTTTCAGAAATCATTCTAATATGCTGATTTATTAACAATATTGGAAACAGTTGTGCTGCTTTATAATTTTATATACCGGTAACTTTTGATACTTTTTTCTGGATTCTTTGACGAATAACACGTTAAAAAAAGAACAGCATTTATTTAAAATAGAAATATTTTGTAACAATATACACTACCGTTCAAAAGTTTTGGGTCAGTCATTTTTTCTTTCTTTTTTTATTATACTTTTATTCAGCAAGAATGTGATAAAAAGTGATAGCAAAGCTTTATATTATTAGAAAAGATTTCTATTTTGAATAAATGCTGTTCCTTTTAACTTTTTATTCATCAATGAATACTGAAAAAAGTATCACTGGTTCCAAAAAAAATATTAAGCAGCACAACTGTTTCCAACAATGATAATAACTGAGTATCAAATAAGCATATTAGAATGATTTCTGAAGGATCATGTGACACTGAAGACAGATGATATTTCACACACATGAATACAAATAATATTTCATGATATTACTGTTTTTTTTCTGTATTTTGATCAAATAAATGCAGGCTTGATGAGCATAAGAGACTTCTTTCAAAAACATTAAAATTAGTAATGACCGGTACTGTATTGTACTTTCTTAAAAATGTATTTGTCAGCTGCAGGAATAATTAAGTAAACAACAACAAAAGGTTAAAAAAAGTTATTGAAAATGTTTAAAAAAAACAACAACTGTAGAGTCAAATAAAATTTTGGGGTTTGAGGTCAGTAATTATTAAACAAGCTGTTCTTTTGAGCTTTCAATTCATAAAATAAACCTTAAAATTACAGTTTCACTTTCCACAAAAAATATTAAGCAGCACAACTGTTTTTACAATGATAATAATCAGCATATTAAAATGATTTCTGAAGGAAAATGTGATTGAAGACTGGAGTAATGATGCTGAAAATTCAGCTTTGCCATCACATGAATAAAATACATTTAAAAATATTTAATTAGAAAATAGTTATTTTAAGTTGTAATACTATTTCACAACATTACTGTTTTTACAGTTTTTTTATTAAATAAATGCATGCATAAGAGACTTCTTTCCAAAACATCTTAAACCATAATTTATTAATCTTTCAGTCATTTGGTATTTCTGCATGCCTCTATTCTATGACAAGAATTATTTAATATTTGATGAATGGCTGATCTGACTTTTTAAATAGATTTCTTCAAAGCGGTTCTGATGTCATAACAACAGCCACATATCAGGCCACCATTGAGGGATTCGTGAAATATCTTGGTCTCCGGCCTGAGGAAGCACAGCAGATGATGATGTCAGGGGTTCAACTGGCAAAAGAGACAGTTCGTGAGTTCATGTCTTACTCACCCAAATCAGGTGTGTGCAAGTCTAACTTCTGCTAAGCTAAATCATTAATTTGATCAAGTTTCTGCTACACAAAATCTAAAATGAATACTGTATATCCCCAAGAAAACAGAAGAGAGCCTTTGGTTGCAGGCTCAGTGGGTCCATATGGGGCCTTTCTACATGACGGGTCAGAGTACACAGGGGCCTATGAGGACAAGATGACATTGGAGGTAATGAAAGATAAAGCTCTTTGTCTGCCCAAGCTGCATCCTCACAAGAATATCAAGTGCATTTTTCCCTTTTGTCTTAGGAGTTGAAAGACTGGCATCGTCCACAGATCCAGTGCTTAGTAAAAGCTGGAGCTGATCTAGTTGCCATGGAGACCATTCCAGGTCTCAAAGAGGCGGAGGCTCTGGTGGAAGTACTCAAAGAATTTCCCGAAATTAAAGCCTGGCTTTCCTTTTCCTGTAAGGTGACTGATATTAATGGATAAGCTTTCCTTGAATTACAAATACCGCACATATATTGTGATATGCAATGGTAAATTGCAATTATAACACACTTGCAACCATTTATGTGATTAAAACAAGTAAGAGTGTGCTAGACATTGCTATTAAAGGCACAATATGACACAAGTCATCCAGCTTGTATTAATATATGATATTCTAATATCGATCTAGCTTACTGCAATGTGCAACAAGTGTCTCATACCACCCACCGAGCAAACGCAGAGTAACATTATAACATAACTTTCAACACACTCAAATGTATTTTTAGTATGATTGTTTTGACCAAGTAAAACATTACCCCATAATATTGACCTCTGACCTGTATTAGTAATCCAGCACTTGTGGCTGTTTCATTAGAATGAAATAAAATAATGTGAATTTAAGTGATAAAACGTAACTAACAATGTTCAAGTTTAGGGAGGAAGGTGAACATTAAATGTAACTTTAATTGTAAAATATGCATAAACAACAAAACAAAAAGAGCGGCTGAGGCCGACTGCGGCATATAAGCGTAATAAAAACAGCAATGTAAAATGTTGCTGGCTCTCGGCCCGCCCTGCTTCATACCACAGTAACGTTAATAGATATTTAATACATTAGCTCATCCATGAACCCAATGTCTCCTTCGGATTGCTTTCCATCGGCTGTGGAGGTCCCATGGTTCCACGCTCATTCATGGCGTCCTCAAGCTACACCTTTGTTGTTGTTTTTAATAAGTGACCTCTAGCGGCGAAACTTACCGTATTGTTCTGAATATAAGAATATAATATTTTTCTTGGAAATACCTGTTTAATGCAACAATGTGTTTCAGGACATTCATAATATTTCAAGCGGGAGGAGCTTTTCTGAGGCGGTTCAGGTGGCCTGTAGGTCCACACAGCTGGTTGCTGTGGGGGTGAACTGTTGTCCCGCTTCTTTGGTGAAACCGCTTCTAGAGTCAGCCAAGTCACACAAGAAAGCAGATTTGAGCTGGGTGGTCTATCCTAACAGTGGAGAGAGATGGGACCCCAAGACCGGGTGAGATTAATCAATATTTTTTTCATTTAACTTTTCATTTATTTAATTAAATTGACAGGGTTCCAACATTCATGAAAGATTTAACATTTGGAATGGAAAATTTTATTAAAAATGAAATCTTTAAATTTTCTTTCCAGACATGGACATTAATATTTGATTCCATTTCATCCCGTATATTTCGTATATTAAAAATCACTCTTTGTGAATGTAATATTTATGTAATTTGTTATAAGAAATTAATATTTTTATTTAGTAAGGATGCATTTAACTGATCAAAAGTGACAGTAAAGTCTATTTAAAATGCTGTTATTTTCTATTGCTCAAATATATCACGGTTTCCACAAAAATATTAAGCAGCAGTATTAAGCGACTGTTTTCAACATTGATAATAAACAGTGTTTCTTGTGCACCAAATCAGCATATTAGAATGATTTCTAAAGGATCGTTACCCTGAAGACTGGAGTAATTGATGCTGAAAATTTAGTTTTGCCATGACTGAAATTACATTTTAAAATATTAAAACAGAAAAGTTATTTTAATTGATCGTATTTCACATTATTATTTTTTGTCCTGTATTTTGATCAAATAAATGCAGCCTTGGTGAGCATACGAGACTTCTTTCAAAAACATTAAACATTCTTACCAATACAACCCCAAACTTTTGAACCGGGTAATTAAATAAAACGTTGTAATCACAAAATTTAAAAAAATGACTGCAAAAGTCATAGAAATTGATTGGTCAAAAGGTATGGGAACCCTGAATTTATTTACTTAGATCGTATCTGACACAATTTGTCTCAATAGTTTCATTGTGTAAGGCTGTTCTGAATCTATTCCAGATGGATAACGGAAAAACAGACATCATTTGCCAAATTAAGCCTCGACTGGAAAGAACAAGGGGCTTTGTGGATTGGTTGGTATCAAGTTGCACCAGTTAATACTAAGACTTGTTCTTTACTGTTGCGCTGACTCACCAAGATTTCTGTTAACAGGTGGCTGCTGCCGTGTTGGTCCTGCTGATATAACTGCACTGAAGCAACAGCTACATGTATAGCAATGACTCGTCATGAAACATGACACCGTTCACATCTAGTTACTTATGAAATAATGCACCAATGTGTAAGAAGGTGTATAAATATTTTATTCATAAATAAAAATAATACCAACACTAGATGACTAGACATTGAACATCATACATTAGATGTCGCTGTGTTAAAGGAAGAACACAAATCACAATGCACATAAAACATGGAAGCAATCATGCAATCTTAGCTCACAGCGTTGCACAAAGAACGTGATTGTAATCCTTCAAGTTAGTATTTACTATAAGTTAGCGCCATTTTAATGGACTGTCACTTCACTATAGCCTGAATCTGATCCACTGACACATTATTAAACTGTCTGATATCTTCATGATAACTTAGTTTGTATTTTTTTTAGACTTACACTAATAAAACCATTTTGTGTCTTCTATGTGATGTTCGGAGCATTCTGCGTACACTTTATGCAGAATATGCATTTTTTTAGTCCATACCGTCCTCCAATTATCTACCATCAGTAGCATATATATCCACCAAATAGCATATAACTGAAATGGATATTGATCAGAAAATTAAATATTCACTAAATGCTCTTGGTACACTTAATGTGCATGCAGTCACAAATTGCAGCAAAATTTTGCAGAAAAAAATGTTTAGCAATGTATGTCGCTTTACTCATGCTTTAATGTCGCTTTCTGTTGGTCATTGAATCCTCATGACCAAGTTAAACCCGTTTTATCGCTGTCCTCTGTCACATCTTGACCTCTGTTCTGGAGCCAAATTTTGGCAAGATTTCGCAGGCAAAAAAGGCCCATTGTCTACAGCTCACAGAAGTCATTACATGTGACCAACTTGAACCCATTGTGAAAACTGCATGGGGAAATGTTTAGCCCTCACGCAAAATTCCCGATTGCATGGATTTTGCACGCAAAAATTAGCTACACAATGGTAAATGTGACCGCACAATTTATTTAATGATTCATTTATTCACAATGTGTTTAGCAAAGCAGCATCAGAAGTGACTTAACCTCTTGGAGAGCCTAAGTAGTATTTTTAATCCCACAATGGGGCAGTCGTAATTGGTAATTGGTAACCCGAAAGTTCGATTCTCAATACCGCCAGGATACTTACTCAATACCTAACCCTCAACCGCTCCCCGGGCGCCATAGCAAAAATGGCTGCCCACTGCTCCTGATGGGTTGTGCGTGTTATCTATTCACTACTAGTAATGTGTGTGCACTAACTTGGATGGGTTAAATGCAGAGAACAAATTCTGAGTATGGGTTACCATACTTGGCCTTCAATTTGATTCACATTGCTGTAGAAAGGTAGCATTACAAGAACCTTCCTAACGAGAGGTTATCGTTCCTTCTTTATGGGCATCAAACCAGCATTCTTATGGTTACCAGCCATATCTACTAAACAACACCATTTGGCTTGCAACCGCATCTATCATATCTAACCTTTCACTGTTGCTAACAACCTGGAGAGATGAATATTCTTGTTTTAAACTGTCGAAACCCAATTGGCTCTTCAGGAGGAAGGTTGGAGACTTCAGACTTAGTCAGTTATGTCTTCATCCAGGTCACTGTCTGGAGAGCCTCTCTGCCTGTACTCTGCGGTGTTGGACAAACGCTTCCAGGCATTGTCGGTCTTGTTCCCCGTACTGAGGGACCTACCCAGACGTTTCACCCCTCGCTCCTCAGAACCGTCCTCTGTCGCAGATTGACCTCTGTGTTCTGAAGCCTGATGGTGGAGATCATGCCTCAGATTTTCTAGATTCAGTGCCCATGGTCCCAACTTTTGCCAGTTCACTCTCTGGAAGGCCATAATGCAATGCAGATTGCCTCCAACCTATACAAATATTATTGAAATAACAAATATGTGAAACAATTCTAATGTCCAAATTATTGTACAAGTACCATCACCATACTCAACTCGCTTACCTTCTTGGTTTTGCGATACTGAATGCCTCTCTCTGTATGACGAATGTCCAAGTATTCTGGGTTCTGAGTATTCAGATCCGTCACAATATCTGCCCATCTGATTAAAAATGAGGTTAGAATGTGTGCGTCATATTTATAATTTGACCAAGTACTACAATTCCATAAAATGAACCATACTTTTTACAGTGGATTGCAGGGTGTTTCCTGCTTGGTTCGCCAATGAGAATCCAGTGTTCCATCTCATTAAGCGGCAGTGACCCCCTGTAAAAATAATAATAATAATAAAGAAAATGGCTTTCTTTCTTAATTAGAAGAAATGGATATTGTAACACTTTCATACCATTTCATATTGTAATACCAATGCTCAATAATAAGGATGGCCCGGGGTCAGTGAGATTTTTTTTTAAATACTTTTGGTGGATTGTCCCTAATGCTGCCTTCACGTGGTTTCGGAATTATCATAAATACGAGTTTCCTAGTTAAAAATTGGACATGAACGCCCTCAAGTCGTATTTACCAGCGGGAAGCTCGGGGATCATTTTGATACCCGAGTTGGACGTGCCATAAACTTTAAACATGGCGAAGGGAAGAACGATTATTGCTGTGACTGCTATTCTTTACTAGTTTTTTTTCCATGTCACCATCACCATGTCTTGTCATTAAAGTAGTGCATATTTACAAATATTAATAACCATTTAAAGCATAAATGTTTTATACACAGCGAAAAATAGCCTGCATTTGACTGAAATTCCAGAATTGTCAGCAAGCTGACTATCTAGATAGCGCAGTGAATGCTTATATAGTTGTCAATGAATGGGACGTTAAATATCAGTTTGGCTTTAAAACGATTTTCCTAATAAATAGGCAAGAATAAACCTGGTGTCCTCCATGATTCCTGTTCTTCCCGACAACAAAGCACTTGAGTGCGACAAGCTCATAATCACAACTTCAGAAATGGGAACTAGGAAATTTCCGACAGCACATGAGGGCAGTATAAATCTTACATTCGTTGATCTTGTATGCTACCGTTCAAAAGTTTGGGGTCGGTAAGACTTTTTAATGTTTTTGAGAGAAGTCTCTTATGCTGACCAAGCGTGCATGTATTCGATCAAAATACGGTTTAATAAAAGTAATATTGTAAAATATTACAAAACTGTAATAGTAGAAAATTTAAAACAACTTTTTATTTCTGTGATGGTAAAGCTAAATTTTCAGCATCTATTACTCCAGTTAACAGTGTCATATGATCCTTTCACAGATCATTCTAAAATTCTGATTTGGTGGACAAGAAACATTTATTATAATTATCAATGTTAAAAACAGTTGTGCTGCTTTTATATTTAAAAAATATTTAAAAAAAACAATAAATATGTGGAAACTTTGATTTGTTTTCGAGATACTCGAAATAGAAAGTTTATTATAGCTTAATTAAAAACATATTTTAACACTAATTTTCTTAACCCAAAAATTACTGAACACAAACATTTGAACGAGAATGTACATTACGTTTGTTTGCATTAAAAAATGCAAACATTGAATGCCTAAACATTTGGCATTCAAAGAATGAAAAACTAAAAATTGAAAACATATTTACATATTTTCTGACACACATAAAAGTTCAATACTATATATTTATTTATTTATTTATTTGGAGTGGCAAGTAAAAGCCTGAAGGAAAAAAAAGGGGACAAAATAGGCCTGAATGCATTATTAAACATTTTCTTACAACCATAACGACCAGAATTTAACAAATATGAGAATAAAATGAAAACCAAAGTTGCTGTATGTTGTACCTGTATGCTTTGGCTGCTTTTAGTGGTGTAGCTTCATAGCCCACAGGGCAGAAATAGTGATTCTGACAGTGGTAAATGTAGGCCATGGATTCATCTTTGAGTCCCTGCGTCAGCTTCAGCAACGCCCCCTCAGCTAGAATGAACAAACATGCTCTATAATATGCTACTCAAGTATTTTCATGACAGAATAATATTGTTTTATAATAGATAAACTGTCTATATCTTAACATAAGATTAAGGAAATATCACATATTACATTTGAACTACTGTCTGCTGACTCTGCTTAACAAACTAGATCAAGAGTATTTGTAGAACAATAAGGTGTTGCAGCCTCTGTTCGTATGAAAAATGATTCAGAATTCACACACCTGTCTCTCCTGCTGTCTTGTGCTTCCCATGAGGTTTGTACAGAATATAAGAGCATCCCCGGACACGAAAATTATCGTTGATTTGTCTGAACCATCTGCACCAATATAAAAACAACAAATCAAAGTTTGGGGTCAGTACGATATATATTTTTAAGAAATTAATACTTTTATTCATCAAGGATGCAATTAAATTGATCAAACGTGACAAAGACTTTTACATTGTTAAAAAAATATATATATTGAACTTTCAATTAATCAAAGAAAAGAAAGGGGGGGTGGAGGGGGACACTCCTTTTTCTCCGGATGTTGAAGCCTTACTGAAATGACGCAGTGAAACTGCACAAGCCAAAGCAGTGCAGGAATCTACACAAGTCTATTGGCTGAGCAGTGTAATCTGCACAAACCTTATCGGTGTGCAGCAAAAAACAGTTCCGCCGGCCCACAGCGAGTCAGGCTTTTACAGCTGCTTCTTCCTCGTCCCGAAGAAGGATGGCGGCCTCAGGCCCATCCTGGATCTCTGAATATGAAACGCCCGTTCAAGATGTTAACATTGAAGCAAATCCTCTCGCAAGTGTGTCCAGGGGATTGTTTTTTCTCAGTGGATCTGAAAGATGCCTACTTTAATATCCAGATTGCGGACTGTCTCTGGCACCGCACAATTTCACTAAGTGTATGGATGCAGCCCTCTCCTCTCTGAGACAGAAGGGATCATGCATCCTGAATTACCTCAACGACTTGCTCGTTTTAGCACAGTCGGAGCCTGAGTTAGACACTCACAAATCCTTTCTCCTCAGCCATTGGGAATGCCTGGGACTCAGGATCAACTTAGCCAAGAGCTCACTGTCTTCCAGCCAGCGAATCGCTTTCCTGGGAGCAGTTCTCGACGCGGCCCAAATGCATCAAACAAATCAGGGACGACAGGCGTACAGTCCTTCTGGTGGCCCCCCTCTGACGGACCCAGCCTTGGTTCCCCGAGTTGATGCATCTGCTAGCAGCAGCCCCATGGTCAATTCCCCTAAGAAAGGACCTCCTTTCCCAGGCGAAAGGAACGATTTGACACTCCCAACCCGAGTTGTGTGCCCTCCATTTATGGCCCCTCAATGGGAACTTACAGACCTCCTAGAGAGGGTCCTAAACACTGTCTCTGAGGATAGAGCCCCGTCCACGAGACGCCTCTACTCCCTTAAGTGCTCTGTTTTCTCTGACTGTTGTACAGACCGGAATAAAGACCCAACTTCCTGGTACTGTTTTTCCTACAAGAGCGGATGGACACGGGCTGCACCCCTTTTACGGACACGGGCAGCCATAGCAGCATACCACGCTCCTGTGGCCGGCCATTCTCTAGGCAGGAACAACCTACCTTCGAGCCGCTACAGTTGGCTGAGCTGCAGCCACTTTCGCTTAAGACCGCCCTCCTGCTAGCTTCAGCATCGGTCAAGCGAGTGGGTGACTTGCAAGCGCTCTCAGTGAGTGCATCTTGCCTTGAGCGCATCTTGCCATTGGGCCTAATGACTGCAAAGTCGTCCTCAAACCAAGACACGGCCATGTACCCAATGTGCTACTAAGACAAGCATGAATTACACTTACTCTGCCCCGTTAGGGCCCTAATGCTGGGGCCACACCACAAGATATTCGGGCCGATTTCTCCCCTTCCAGCAATCCTAAGTGAAGTCCCAATTATCTTGATGGTTCTACAGATGAGGCAGCACCAAAGGGCATCCGGTCACGAAGCAAAGATGATCCCGCTGGAAATGGACGCCCATTGGATTGGCCTACACTTCAATGAGCCTTCAGTGCCTATTGGTATAAGAGCTCACTCCACCAGAGGCATGATCTCTTCCTGGGCGTGTTCCAGTGGTGTATACATTGGCAACATCTGTGCGGCAGCCGGCTGGTCCTCGCCGTCCACCTTCGCCAGGTTTTACAACTTGGACGTTTCTGCACTGCAAGCCCGAGTCCTCTCTGTTTAGCTGGGTTTGACCTCAGAGTGAGCTCAGCCCACTAGTATCCCCCTGAAGGCTCCATCTCATGGTCTGAGCCCCTTTTTCTAGTCTGGCAAATACCTTGCCCTTGCTTAGCTCTACTGCCCTCTAGACCCTTATATAGTAAGTGTCTTAGACTGGGGCCTTAGAACGATTGTTGTTCTGCAATCACAGCACGGCGTGATTGGATTGGTTACCCATTGCAATACAAGTGAACGATCGATAGGAAACGTACTTGGTTACTAACGTAACAGGAATGCGTATTGCGTAGCTGGCCATGCTATTATGCTACATGACTAGGCGTTTGTCACTTTAGTCGAGTTGATCTCAATCCTATGGCGAGACGAGCCCGTTTTATAGATAGATGCTACACCCATTCTTGCGGGTTGCGCACATTGGTTTGCACAGATTACACTGCTCAGCCAATAGGCTTGTGCAGTTTCACTGCATTATTCAATAAGGCTTCAACATTCAGAGAAAATTTTGTTTTCCCCCCATCGCGTCTATACTCGTTCCCGTTATCTCAAGGTAGTAACCGAGTATGTTTTCAACACTGATGATGATATAATAATAATAAGAAGAAATGTTTTTAAGCACCAAATTAACATATAAGAATGATATCTGAAGGAACATGTGACACTTTTGACTGAAGTAATGATGCTAAAAATTAAGCTTTGCCATTTTGTAATTTTAAATTGTAATAATATTTCACAATATTGCTGTTATAATTCTATTAAATAAAATAAATGCAACTTTGGTGAGCACAAGATACTTTTTTACAGACCCCAAACTTTTAATGGTAGTGAATGTATTGATGTATGTTAACACATTTTGAGAAACTGTTAAAATGCAAAACCTACAGTAAACTCACCGCATCAGAGTGGCATTGCCAGTGAACGGTCCAAACTTGATATCTTCAAACGGAGGCTGAAAACCAAGTATATTCAGGGCTTCTTCTTGAGAAATAGGTGGGAGACTGAACAAATCAATCCTAAAGGTTACTCTTTGCAATTTCTACCAGACCAGATTAGAAATCTTAAAATAGATCAAGTGAATATGCTGTTTTTTCTCCTAAAAATACATATTCCTTGGTATATTTTTGAACAGTGTGCCAAGTCTCATACATTAAATCAGCAGAGGCTGATCCAAAACTTAAATAATTTACAATATGAAATTAGCTAGCTGTTGATAAATTTCAGCAAGGAACACACCTGCCTGCTCCTAGAGTACTGTAGAGAAAGTTCCAACAAGAGACAAGTGAAGAGATTCCACATGATGTTTTATACTGGGGTCGGCTGATGCAGTACCTTAAACATCAGAGAGGAGTGGTTAAACGTGCACTTTTTGAGTCTCATTTGTCATTCATTAGTGTATTACCATCTACGGAGGTCCAAGACTTTTCTCTGTTTGATCTCCTCCAGAGAGGCTTGAGGTGGGAGATCTTGCAGGTTTCTGCTGAGCCTGTCAGACGATTTCATTTTCTTAGAGTTGAATTTCTTTAAATTACCTGAGGAAAAACACACTTAATCCTTTAAAAACATTCTAAGTAATATATTATATATTAATATATATTATACTCATTCTGGTTCAAATTTACACTCACTTATCAAGTAGAAGAATTTGTTTCACTGGAATATATACAGTAAAAGACCCTTAAAATGCAGTGAATAATGGCTTAGCTGGAGTTTGGATAAAGTTAACTCAATGTTAAGCTTCATTAAACATATGTAGAGAGCATGATTATCATTCTGAATCTGCCCTGTGTACTTTGTCTCAGCAAAGATTCCTCAGATCAGTAATTCCATAGTATTACCATTTCTAGACTCTGTTTGATCAGGCACTGAGTGATGGCACACATCCAATGCATTCTATCTATAAACACTGAATCTGGGAATAATTACAAATTACTTAGGTGAAATCCATGTGACAGAGTCACCTGTGTCAGTGAAGTCATCACTGATGTTACATAAATCACAGCAGATGGTCAATGAGCTAATTTTCCTGGCATATTTTGCTCAACAGCATGTGGAATAAAAATGACCCTGATATATTTTGTTACTTTTCACTATTAGTTTACTGATAATAAAAGTATTGTGATAATAAGCTTACACATGATTTTCAAAGGATTCTTCAAGGTGATCTGTGGTCTTTAACAAAAATTCCCTAAACATGACAATACCCTATCCTGAAATATATAAGCAGCTTTATATTTTCATGTATTAAAACCCATTTATATTGTGAGAAAAATATTAAACGTTATATCATGAAAACAACTAAATATAATGTTTCCAAAATTATTGGAAACAATAATTGGAAAAGTTTGAAAACCCCTGGTCAAAAGTATATGTCTGTGTTTGTGATCATTTTAGAGAGACTCATACTTGTTCTGGTTTTCCGGGTTAAAACCACATCAAAATCAGAGGTGTCAATCTCCCAGGCCAGCACAGGCTTGTTGCTGGATGACACAACCTCCATATCACAGTTCCCATCTAAAGACACACTTATTCCCCCTGAGTGACACTGGGAGGGGGTTGCAGTGTTAGTCTTGACTAATGATATCCCAGTGTCTGGATTGGTTGGTGGTGCATCTTCAGATGTGATGATGGGTCGGGCTCGGTTGAGCAGAGCATAGTCCGAGCAGACGGTGTAGAACTTCTCTCGGGAGTGTGTTACAGGGCAGGTCCAAGGAAGCTGCAGTTCAGCGCTGGAGGCCCGTCGCACCCGCAGCGCATCACTCGTCAACGGGCTCAGGAAGCTGCGCTCACGCTCATCCTCTCTGCCCGGGGCCCGTGATGGGGCCTCTTGATCAGTTCTAGCAGATCCGTTGGCACCTTCACTTTCCACAGTGTTAGGCATTGAACGGAGAACTGGGATGACGGTTAGGAGAATACAGGTGTACTCCAGCTGTGACGGCTTGGTCCCAGAAAAGAGCTCAAAGAAAGAATCTCACCCACTGACTACAATTAAGAATAAGACAGAAAGTGCAATAATAATAATAATATATAATAATATATATATATATAGATCACATCTAACAAAAGTTTTTGTTTACATCTAAGTGTGTATAATATTATATCACATATACACACACACTGACACACATATACACACACACATATATATATATATATATATATATAGTCTATAATATTTGTGTTTTTATATATTATGTCTGTGTGTGTGTACTGTATATCGTCTATATATTATCTAAACAAAAACTTGGTGGATTTTCTGTAAAATAAGGTGTGGTGTGACACTGTTGTCTCCATCACCATGATCATAGTCCCTACACTAAGCCAGAGATTGCTATTAATTGCAATTATGAAACTGACAACAGCTTTAAACGACGTGTAATCTTCTATAGATGGTACCACATGGTTGAATTCGACTTAACTTACATCATTATCATCGTCAACAACACTACCGTCGTTTTAGGTCATTATTTATCGATGATGGTCCGTAGGCATCATTTCAGGAATAGATTGTAAGATAAATCGCTGCAATGTAAGTTTAAACCACCATATAAATAATATAGATATCTGAATAATAGCTAAACAGCATCAATGTAGCATCAATGGGCTCTTCGAAAGATTTTAACCCTTACATAAATGTGGGTTCATAGCGCAAATATGTATCCTTATTTACTTAATCTTAGTTAAAATAATAATAATAAACACATACCTTGCCAATTCTGCAGGAATAATTTATGTATACTGCTCTGCCAGCGCGAGCTCTCTGTTTGACTGAGTGCCTGCCTAGGCTAGCTGTGTTTTAACGGGCTCTACCAATCTCAAAGACA